AGGATTTCCTTTTAAGGAGGCTCACTTGCTGGCCAAGTTGGTGCTAGTTGTTGGTGAGAGACCTCACTTCCTCCCCATGGAGACCTCTCCATAGTGCTGCTGAGTATATTCAGAACATAACTTTGGCTTCCCCCAGAGTGAGTGGTGTAAAGATACTACAGCAAGGTGATAGCTGTGGTATCTTTATGACCTAGCTTCAGAAATTACACATTGTCACTTCTATATTCTTTTGGTCACATAGGCTCACATAATTCAGGGTGGGTCTGGACTACATAAGAGCGTGAATACCAGGAATCCAGGAATCAAAGATCACTGAGGTCCATCACTGAGGCTGGGTACCACAGTTTAAATTAATAATGTTTAGGCTTCAGAGAAATTCTCCACATCTCTTGCCTGTATCTTCATGTCTGAATGCCGTGAAGGTTTGTAAGTGGTACCGTTGCTGACATTGGAGACAGAAACTGCTCAAGATTTTGGTACGGGTTTGAGAAGGCAGTAGAAGCATTTCAATCAAAGGAAAGAGAAATTAATTATCTAATTTTTCTCTCAGCATGAATGCAATAGAATCTTACATGATAAAAATATTGTTTTCTGGTAATTTAAAGCTTGTATTATCCTTTCTTTCTGTTATAATTTGTTGTTCCTGAGGTAATAGAATTAGTGATATTTGCAACAGTTGCAATTGGAGACTGACAAGCATTTTCCATTATTAAACAATGCATATTATTATTAAATTTGTCTTTACATAAGTATGGACAAAAAATTCATGAAGTATGATAAGATTTTTTTAGGTTGGCAATAGATGGACATGAAATGCTAGAATGATAAAGTTTGAAATACAGATATTTAATAAGATTAAGTCAAATTTTTTAAAAAGTAAATACAAAAATTTTAATGTTTTTTAATTTGTTGTTAATTATAATTTGTAATAGGAAGTAGACAGCAGTAGAAAATCTTCAGAGATGATCTACTTGAGTTTTTTAAAACTAGAAACAACAGTAGACTTATGTTGAGCATTACCTATGGTAAAATTTGGAAATAAGACTTTCTATATTCTCTAAAGAAGATTTAATTACCAATTTAACTGGTTTTCTGTGTCTATTGCTATTTTACCATAATTAATAACATACGTCAAACTTAGCAGCTGAAAACAATATTCATTTATTATCTTGCAGTTTTCATCGGTCAGGAATCTAGGTGTTACTTCACTGAGTCTTCTGCTCTAGTCATGAGTTTGCAATCAAAGTGTCAGGCTGCATTATCATCTTTAAGCTTGACTGGGGAAAGGTTCATTTCCAGACTCTTTCAGGTTGTAGGAAGAATTTATTACCTTGAGGTTGTAGAATGGAGGGCTCTGGCTTTTTGCCGGCTCTTGGCTATGGGCCACCCTCAGGTCTTATAGACTGTCCACAGTTTTCAGAGTCACCCACAGTTTCTTGCCACATGGACTTCTCCAACACAGCTGCTTACTTCATCAAACTCATGAGAGAAGCCTGTAGCTCCAGGCTGCTAAGACAGTCTTATATAGTGTAACATAATCATGGCAATGATATCTCATCACCTTTGCTATATACTATTTGTTAGATTAAGCAAGTCATACGTGCTAGCTACACTCAAAGGGAGGATGTCATAGAAAAGTGTGAACACCAGGAAATGGGAATCTTCAGAGATCCTTTAAAGTGTCCACCACACTGATCATTGGAAATAAACAAGAAAATAGAAAATTATTCACAAGTTGAAGAGATTAGTTGAATCCCTGAAACATTGTATTCTTTATCACATAAAATATTTTAACTGATCAAAATGTGAAAAAGAGAACTATATACAACACAGAAGCAATGGTGTGACTCTGGCATGCTCATTAGAAGGTGAAAATTACATTCATGAAACTGGCAAATTGAACAAGAAAAGCAAAAACTCTTGAGCTTTCCTATCTCTGTTGCATGATAATCCTGGAAAATGGCCGTTATGTCCTTTGGCAATGTGAGAGTATTTTTAGGAAAACACAATTTGATTTAAATTAATGATTATAATTTTCTACTAGGCAAATATAACAAAATATTTCATTCTTCAACATTCTTTCAACTGGTTAAAGAAATTATAGAGACTGTCTTTTGTATTATAAAATTAAAGGAAAAATATGTAGTTTGTTACTACTGTTCCATATTTCACAAGCAATCTTGAAGACCATTTTTTGGCAATGAACCTATGTGGCTGCAAACATTTAGGCTCGTGATTAAAAGAATATAGAACCTCACCTGTATTAAAAATATTAATGCAGTTATTAACATTGAAAAACAACTGAATAAACAATAAACAAGCAAGGAGATTCAACAGTATAAAACATTGGTATGATTTTCTTTAAAAGAAAATATTATGTATCTAATAAAGAGTCAAATAATGCCTTTGTGGTATTAGCTGTGCAATATTTCATAAAACAAGAAGTGTCTAGATTTCATAGAAATTATTTCAAAAATTGATAATACATGATCAGTATATAAGACGGATTAAAAGAATAAATAATCTCTGTCAAGAATAGAGAATTAAAATGAAATGTTTAATGAGTAATAAAGTGGGAAAAGAAACAGTACACAAGGGCTTGGTATGGTAGCTTACGCCTGTAATCCCAACACTATGGGAGGCTGAGGCAGGAGGTATCACTTGAAGCTGGGAGTTTGAGAAGAGTCTGGGCAACACAGTGAGACCCCCATCTCTACAATGATGATGATAATAATAATAATAATAAAGAAAAATACATTAAAAATTTAAAGTAGATATTACTCAGCTCATCTAAATTATTTCAGGGGCAAAGTCAAGGTGAACAACTAATACTCATGTTTGTGAACTACCGGAAGAATAAGAAGTTGAAATTAATGAGTATTGCATTGTTTTTATGCTGGTTTAGAAAGTAAGTATTTTGTGATGAGGGAAAAATTGATCACAATTCTTTCCCCTCTTCTCTCTCCCATCTTCCCTCTGCTAGGTAGGGAGAAATTACTAATTTTGAGGGAAGGTGAGCCAGAGAGCAGTTTCTCCCACTGGATGCAAGGCACTGGGAAGGACTGGGGAGAACAGCACATTCTCTAGGCAATCCTGAGTGAATTCCCAAAGATGTTTTCAGCAATCCCACTCCTTGTTCAGGTTGTTTTTTAAGAACAACTTTATTGACATATAATTCACATACCATAAAATTCACCTTTAAAGTGTATAATTTGGCAGTTTTGAGTATATTCAGAATTGTGCAGCCATCACAGTATCTGATTTTATAACATTTTCATCACCCCCAAAAGAAATCCTGTACTCATTAGGAGTCACTTTCCATTCCTCCCCCACATCACCAGCCACAGGCAACCACTAATCCACTTTATGTCCCTGTGAATTTGCCTGTTGTGGACATTACACAGCAATGGAATCATGCAGTGTGTCCCCTATACTTTATTATTTCAGTGAGGTTTCTGAAAAACCTACTTATGATCTATCTAAGAAAATCAATCATCTCTTATGTTTCAGACTTACTGTAGTATATATTTCCTCTACTTTTTCCATTACCTGTGTGTCATAAATACTTTCAAATATCCATGTTAGCTCATACTGAATATATCCATGTTAGCTCATACTAAATAGGATAATATATTGCAGAGTTGCAAGTTGTTGACAACAAAATTTGACTTCCAAAGACAATGAAAGTAAAATGCTTGCTTGAACTTCAACTAACTTTGAAGGGAGTATGGCTACAATGTATTTGACTACACAGATGGTTTTTACATTATCCTTTGATTACAGGATAAGGGAAACTGTGCTTCTAGTAGGAGTTAACTATATTTTAGAAACATTGTACATTTTTTCAATTGTTAAATTATCTTTTAAGTTTAACCTATTCATTTTTGTTCTGGGAACCAGTAATTTTTGGCAGTCTGTTAAACATAATATTTAATACTGACTTGCCTAAGTAAAGAGATTATAAGAATCTAATGATAGACTTTTATTTTTGTTATTCCTGGTTGTTGTAAATGAATATTATGAAAATATTTATAATAGTAAGTCTTATAAACATTTTTATAAAATAACTTCTTAAAAAGTGAGCTTTAAAGTTGAGGAATGGTAAATCTTTAGAGAAAAATGTAGTTTTATAAAGTAAGAGTAGCTGAGCATTGAGTTATTTTACAATAGAATCTACAATGAGAAGGTTTGCTATTTTGCTGTCCTTCATAGTTTTACCATGTAGTATTCTCAATAGGCATTTGGGAAGCTTTTAATTTTCACCTCATTTTAAGTTTGTAGTATTTATGTGTATTATTCCTTTCCTTAATAAAATTGTACTTAAAGGATTTTTTGTTTTACATATGTGTCTTGGAATGATGATTTAAAGTATTCAGTGCAGCATAGTTGAAAAAGCATGGACTCTAGATCAGTCTGCCTCCATTCACATCTCTGTCCCACCCATCTTTAATGGTCTAACCTTGAGCAACTGACCTACACTCTCTGTGCTTTAACTTCCTCAACAATAATGTGAGATTATTAGTATCTATTAAATAGACCTGTTATGAAGATGAAATGAAGTGTGTATATATAATTATGTGCATAAAGCCTTTAGCACATGGTAAGTGCTTAATAATACTAGCTGTTTTATTCTCTGTGGAGTGAGTATAGGAACAGTTTGGAATAGCAGAGATAACTGAAGATTGTTCAATCAGAAATCTTCATTATTTTTCCTTTCATTTGGTGATTTTTTTATGTATGATAAACTTCAGTTTCATTTTCTGTATATGTTATGTGGCATATAAAATAATTTTATAACATATAGAAATATTGTATTTAGTTTTTTATTTTTTGAAATATTGTATTTAAAATCAAGTGTGTTATGCAAAAGAGTGTGTTTGTTGCATTACAGTTTAAGAGTTAGGAAATAAATATTTTCTATTACTAAATTCTTTATTAGAAAATACAGCAAAAATGAATTCTTTATATATGTTGGCATTCTTCCTCTTTCCCTGTGACAGGGTTTTCCAGGTGACTTTGGAGACAGAGGCCCTGCTGGTCTTGATGGCAGTCCTGTGAGTACATTATGTTGGTCCAGTCTTGCATTCTAACATCATTCGTACTTTATAGCACTGCACTTACAGTCCTTATTATAATATTTGTGAATAAACACTATTGGAAAAACAATCTCCACACGACTGTGCACATTCCAGTTTGTGATTTTTCAACTTGGGAAATAAGTCAAAAATATTTCAAATTTCATCATGACATTCAATCTTTAATTATTTTGATGATGTTAAATAGGTATAACTGCTTAAGTAAAATATTAAAAATATATGATCACAATATTGGCTCTTATACATGAAAGTACCAACAGACTTATATAAAAATTGTACACTCAGTGATTGCTCTTTGGATTCAAACCTGTCATTGATTCACCTTACTTCTTAGTGTTTTATGGAAAATTATTCTACTTTGGGTTTTTTTAACTGTCAATGTTCAGATTGAGAAAGAGTTACTGTCCTAAAATTAGTTTAATTATATCATCAAAGAATGATGATGGATTGCTATTTTTTGGCACTAGGTAGAAACAGCTTTAGCTTTTGCCCTTAAAAAGCATCCAATAGCTATTTCCCAATCTATGCCATTTACATATTCTTTTCATAATTTTAAAGTGAGTTAGAAAAAACACAAAATCTCTGTAGCCTAAATTGGGAATAGTTCCAATAATTACACATAAGTAAATCACTAATATAAAGAGTTTAAAATAGTTTGTTTTTCTTCTTTTTTACTTCTGTTTTCCAAATTAAAACTATATTAGCTCATTCAGTGAATTCAGCCAAGGTTTCATTGTTATAAGGCATAGCAGATAAGAGTAGAACTGATTTTCAAACACATTGTTAAAAACTTGAATGATGTTTTAAGTGGAATGTTTACCTTTATTTCTTGCACATGATTCTGAAGAGTATTTCAAGCATAATAAAGTAAACATTATTTATTTTTAATGCCATTTGTGCTCTTGTGTACCTAGTGTGAAGCCATTTTACATAATTTTTTGTCAGTTACTATCCACAAAGTCTATTAAGACTCCTAGAATATTTGAAGTTTTCTTTTAAATTATATTAATTGTATAAATATATAATTAATATTAATTATATCTTAATATATAATTGATTTATATAATTCAATTAATATTTAATTAATATTAATTATATACATTATATTAATATTAAAGTTTTCCTAGAATATTTAAAGTTTTCTGCTCTTCATTTAAAATATAATAATGTTTCTTCAGAAGCATTTTGAGTTTTTAAAAAATTGTCAATTATTTTCAATACGTAATAGTTATATATTTAGTTTACTGGTTTATAATCCCCTATAGTATATTCTCTGCCTTTGTTTCAGAACAGAATTTGAAATGCAAAAAAAGAAGGACATTCATGTACTTTGTGCTTTGTAAATAATGTGACAGTGACATAAAGTGAATTAGGAATTATCTTAAAGACTATAAAGTGTAATGACAATGAGTTCAAAAGACCAATCACAAATCAGCTGGAATATTTAATAATGATCATTAAAATCTGATACTTACATAAATAATTTAACAATATTGAAAATTTTGTAATTTTTATAGTGCCTTTACATATGACAAATTTTATTGTGATTTTTACAATGAGAAGAGATATTGGTATTTCTGTTTTAATGAGAAAAATGAAGATTAGAGAATTTAAATAATGTACTTCAAAAGAGTCGATAGTGTTTTAAACCATCTGAAAATGTTTTTCTAATCCTACATGCTGACCACTTGTCTTTTCATAGAATAGATAGCCTAATTAAATGTACAGTGTTGATTATTGATGGGATTTACTTCCTTGGTTAAATACGTAGGAAGCAGAGAGGACTCTACTTAAGCTAGAATTAAGTGGTAGTCCTGGCGTCCAAAAACATTTAGCCAAGGGCACTTGTGAAGAACATAAACGGCCACCATGGGTTTGTCCTTCTCAGGAGGATGCATAAGATTAGGGGAGTTTCAGAAGTTAGCTATAATAGAAGGTACATTTTGATGTATTCTTAGCTAGAAAGTTTTTGTGTTTATCTTCAGAAATACCCTCAGTAGTTGGGAATCAAATTTAATAAGTATTGCACATTTCTTTTACAATAGGGACTTGTAGGTGGCACTGGTCCTCCGGGGTTTCCTGGGCTTAGAGTGAGTATCACTAAATATCATCATTCTTAAAAAAATATTTTATTGTGCAATTTATATATGTTAGATGTGTTTTTGAAACTTAGGAAAATGAGAAGTTTTACTGTCTTTATTGGTTATCAACCTTGATTAAATGTATTTTTCAACCAGATAGGAATAATTAGACCAGTAGTGTAAGTCAAAAAATTAATGTATTTTATGATAAGAAAAAATAATGATATATTTTTATAGACCTGTATGTATGTGTTTGTGCCTGTACGCTAAAGGATACCTAAGACAAAAGTTTCCTCAAAAGCATAAGATATAGAAGACCCACTTCTTTCCTTTTTAAAAAATTGTCAATTATTTTCAATACGTAATAGTTGTACATATTTATGGGGTATATGTGATATCTGTTACAAGAAAAAATGTGTAATGATCAAAATTTGAATAATTGGTGCTTGTATCACCTCAAGCACTTATTATTTCTTTGTGTTAGGAACATTCTAATTTCATTCTTTTATTTTATTTTGAAATCTGTGATCAACTATTGTTAAAGATAGCTACTCTATTGTGCTATGAAATACTAGATCTTATTCCTTCTAACTGTATTTTTGTATCTATTTATCATCCCTTTTATATCCTCCACCCCTACCCTTCTCATATATTTAGCTCCCACATATTTGTGAGAACATGTGTTAGTTACGTTTCTGTACCTGGCTTATTTCATTTAACATAATGTCCTCCAGTTCTGTTCATGTTGTTGCAAATGACAGAATCTCATTCTTTTTTATAGCTGAATAGTATTCTATTGTTTGTATGTAACACATTTTCTTTATTCATTCATCTATTGATGGACACTTAAGTTGATTCTGTATATTGGCTATTGTGAATACTGCTGCAATAAACATGGGAGTGCAAATGTCTGTTCAATATACTGATAGCCTTTCTTTCAGTCTTCTTTCCCTTATCTTTAGCTATCCCAAAGCACAAGGTGACAGTTTGGTTAAAGAAGTCATGGCCAGGCATGGTGGTTCATGCCTATGATCCCAGCACTTTAGGAGGCCAAGGCAGGAGAGTTACTTGAGCTTAGGAGTTTGAGACCAGCCTGGGCAAGATGATGTGATCCCAACTCTACAACAACAACAAAAAAAAAAAAGAAAGAAAGAAAGAAAAAAGAAAATTAGCCTGGCCCACTGTGGCAGCATGGCAGTTCTGGTGAAGCCCCCTCCCTGCCATTTGGTTTCCTTCTGCCAAGTGGCTACAGGCTGCCCTTCAAATCTTCATTTGTCCCTTTTCACTTCTTGCAAAGCAAACCTTTGAGAGTTTGTTGGAAATGGCCTTTGATGACCAAAGATACTAGAGTATGTGTGCTTTGTCCTGTATTGTGATGAATGAGAAATGCGGACTTCCAGCTCTTTTGTGAAATATGAGACAGACCTAAGAAGTAGGTCATCCGGGATAGGAGTGGTTCAGTGTTGGGGGTACACAGTCATCCAGCCATGCTCCACCAGGCCACCAGTGCATATTTGGCTGGTGATCTTCCAAGTGCGTGAGACCTGCTGTTCACTGATTCGCCGCCTCAGTTGGTGGCCTCCAAGATGGCAGCAGCACCCCTAGGGCCCTGTCTTCAGCATGTTACAAAGCCTCAGAGTAGAAATTCTTGCTAAAGCTCTATGTGGATGCTTTTCTTCCATGGCTTAAAAGCTGTACTCTAAGCTTTTGACCTCATGCCTTGTGTAGTAAAAAAGATTTGGGGTTTTTTTTCTTTCGTTTTTGAAAGGGTTGCGTTTTGTTTTTGTTTCCTTTTGTTTTTGTTTTGGCCTTTCCTCTTTGTCTTTTCATGTAGACCAGATATTTGAAAGGGCAGACAATGGCTAAAGGTATAATGTGCAGCTTGTTTATATATTATTTTGGGAAACTTACCTTGGATAGGAAGTGGAATTGTGGATTCTCTAGGCTGGTGCTGGCACACTCAACCTTCGCCCTTTTCCCCCAGTTCAGTACCTACTGTTTCTCCTTTCAAATATGTGATTGTGCTAGCTCTTTCCATAGGGAAGAATTCTCCTTATTTAAATAAAAAAGTAGTTTAAAAAATAAAGCTGAGAAAAATGTTTCAATTAGCCAAGTGAGGTAGAGCACACCTGTAGTCTCAGCTACTTAGGAGGCTGAGGTGAGAGCTTCTCTTGAGCCCAGGAGTTAGAGGCAGCAGTGCGCTATGATCATGCTGCTGCACTCCAGCCTAGGTGATGAAGCAAGGCCCCATCTCTCTAAAAAAAAATCAAATAAATAAAAATAAATAAGTCAGGAGCTCAGTTATTGGAACTGTGGTAAAATTTAAGTCAGCATAAGCTTTAACTTGCCATCTTGGGATAACATGAGTATGGGATTTAGAGTCAAAGAACCTGTATGAGTCTGAAACATTTAAACTTTTCTCTAACATAATGGTAAGATTTGTAATAGTAGTAATAATAAAATTACTGAGGGTGCCTCACATTTATTTACTATTTTCAGTGGACTGGCCACAATTGTTAAGTCATTGCATTCTCAAACCAACCCATGACTACTGAGCTGATAAGTGTTTGAGCCCAAATTTGAAGCCAGGTGATCCAAATCCAGAGTCCAGAATTTTGTTGGGCTGTACCACCTCCTTAAAACTTATACTCCCTTAAGTGTATATTATCTACCTTATAAGATTTCTTTAGTCCTTCCTGAGAAACTCTATGTGATGGTGGAACACTATTGACTTTTTTTTTTTTCTGAGAACTTAGAATAGGGTTAAACCTGTAGGTATTAGTCAATGGGTAGAGAAAGGAAGTAAGCAAAAGGAGTTAGATTCCAAAGATGCTCTTCATGCAGTTTTTATTTAATCTATTAGCATGGAGTTGATTAGCTAAAAAGCTTCTGTTATTACTCTCAAAATTAAGACCAAATTTTTAAAATACGGCCCAAGATATCTAGTCTGTTCATTGCATACTATTTGTATACTAGCAAAGCTGTTAATTCTCAGATGCCATGCAGCAGCATCTTTGCTACAAGGTTTTGCACATGTTTGTCTACCTGAAACACTCTCTCTACTTTTCTCCAACACTTAGCACACTGCCTGGCACATAAAAGTACTCAGGAAAAATAACTGAATCTTCTGTATTTTCTCTTTCTCCATTCACCTTTCAGTTCATGGGAAGAGATTCTACAGAAAAGGAAATGGCTAATGATAACTGTATTAGTCCATTTTCACACTGCTATGAAGAAATAACTGAGACTGGGTAACTTATAAAGGAAAGAGGTTTAATTGACTCACAGTTCCACATTGCTGGGGAGGCCTCAGGAAACTTACAATCATGGTGGAAGGCAAAGGAAAAGCAGGTGCCTTCTGTAGAGGATGGCAGAGTGAATGCAAACGGGGGAAATGCCGGATGCTTATAAGACAATCAGATCTCATGAGCCTCACTTACTATCGTGAGAACAGCATGGGGCAACCATCTCCATGACCCGATTATGTCCACCTGGTCCAGTCTTTGGCCTGTGGGGGTTATGGGAATTACAATTCAAGATGAGATTTTGGGTGGGGACATAGCCAAACCATATCATTCTGCCACTGGCTCCTCCCAAATCTCATGTGAGGACACATTTCAAAACACAATCATGCCTTTCCAACAGTCCCCCAAAGTCCTAGCTCATTCCAGCATTAACCCAAAAGTCCAAGTCCAAAGTCTCACCTGAAACAAGGCTAATCCCTCCATCTATGAACCTGTAAAATTGGAAGCAATTAGTTACCTCCTAGATACAATGGGGGTACAAGCACTGGGTAAATACTCCCATTCCAATTAGGAGATATTGGCCAAAACAAAGGGGCTACAGGCTCCATGAAAGTCCAAAATCAAGTAGGGCAGTCATTAAAACTTAAAATTCCAAAATGATCTCAATTTGACTCCATGGCTCACATCCAGGTCACACTGATATAAGAGGTGGGTTCCCACAGCCTTGGACAGCACCACCCTGTGGCTTTAAAGGGTACAGACCCCCTCCCAGCTGCCTTCATGGGCTGGCATTGAGTGCCTGCGGCTTTTCCTGGTGAATGGTGCAAGCTGTTGGTGGATCTACCATTCTGGGGTCTGGAAGATGGTGGCCCTCTTTTCACAGCTCCACTAAAAAGTGCCCCAGTGGGGACTCTGTGTGGGGTCTCTGACCCCACATTTCCCTTCTACACTGTCTTAGCAGAGATTCTCCATGAGGGCGTCACCCCTGCAGCAAACTTCTGCCTAGACATCCAGGCATTTCCTTACATCCTGTGAAATGTAGGCAGAGGTTCCTAAACCTCAATTATTGACTTCTGTGCACCTGCAGGTTCAACACCACATGTAAGTAGCCAAGGCTCAGGGCTTGCACCCTCTGAAGCACCGGCCTGAGCTCTGTGTTGACCCCTTTTAGCCACAGCCGGGATGCAGTGCACCAAGTCCTGAGACTGCACAAAGCAGCAAGGCCCTGGGCCCAGCCCAAAAACCATTTGAGAATTAACCATCAGATAGTAAGAGTCATCTTTGTAGTCCTCATCTCTTCTAAATTGATATAGATGGTCCTTTCTACTTTTCAAAGTAGTTTCATATACATATCTTATTTGCGCCTCAATGAGTTGTAAAGTAAATAAAGCAGTTATTGTTACTTCCATTTTACATTCATTACTTTTTAAAATTAAAACAACATGAGCACCTACCAAATGGCTGAACTAACTGCTAGGCCTAATAATATGAACAAGTTAAGATTCCTATTTTTGGCAATATTACAATCTAATGGCATAGAAGGAAAAATAAGTAGTGTCATATACTGTGATTGCTGCTATAATGGATTAAATGTAAAACCACTGAGAAAGGAGCAATTTGTGTTATCTTGGAAAGTCAGAGTAGGCTTCACAAAGGAGATATTTTGGGGGCTATATCTTGAAGATTGTATATGAATGGGGTGGGGTGAAAGGGGGAAGAGGGTTCTTTAGATACAAAAATGCTGTGTTCAAATACACAGAAGATGGGGGAAAATGAATGTTTGGGAATGGAAAGAGGAGTAGTGGGATTGTAGCATAGGAAGTAGGGGGTTGGGAGCAGAATGGAAGGAATTGAGGTTTTGAAAGTAATTGGGAAGGATTATGAAGAACCTTTATATTGCATAGTAAACAACTTGTCTGCTTGCCCAGAGCAGCAGCCTCTGCTTTATCTCTCAGGTGTTCCCGTCCAGCAGGTATAGTTTCTGATAAGAGATGCTATTGCTTTAACTAAATTATTTTTTCCATGCAGTTGGTCATCATTGTTTTATGCTTTCTTAGACTAGTGACAATGTGTATCACGTATGAGTATGATGGGTGTGATTAAAAAGAACCATGTGAAACTCACAGTCCTTTCTTCAGTATACTCATATGAACTCTTATTAATTGGCCAGTGACTGCTCTTTTTAATATAAATAACTTATCCTTTGGGTCTCTCTATTTCTTTGACTTTAATTCAGAAGTTCTCAGAGGAGCTGTGTGGGAGGCGCCTCTGTCTCTGATACCGTATCCCAAACACCCTCAGCAAAGCTCCCATGCACGAAAGTATTTCTTCTGTCTGTTCCACATTCTTATGGAAGATGAGTTGGTAGGTAGGGAATGCTGAAGGACTTTCAGGTTACCTTTGTAGAACTGAGAACTGAGTTACTTTCAGAAGGCTATGGTTTCTCAGGACGAGAATTTCCACTCAATCTGTGACATGCTGTTTCTTGGAATTTTCGATTCCATAGTATTCAATTTTACTTTATAGTTCTTTATTTTTCTAAGTTCATTATAATATATTTTTCATATCTCCCAATACTTATCATTAGGTAATTTTTCTTATAGAGTCACTGAAAAGTAAAATAAGATATTATACATACAAAGTACATTCATCTGAAGATGCCAGTAATATACTTACTGAAAAAAGTTAAGAATATTATTTTATCTATGATGAAAACAACAGGACATAAAGAAAGATTTTTTTGTGTGTTCGTTAAGAGAGTCCTTTCTATACTTTCTTGGATTACTTTTACACAATTTCCAAGCATAGATATTTTTGTGTTTTTCTAACCTATCATAAGTTTTAAAGCTATGAACTTTGAATAAACTATCCACTGTAATCATAAGCATAAGTTTTCCTATTGACATAATTTGAAATTACAAGCATGATGTATTAATATTGCATATCTGTTAAGTTGGAAAGTATTACCCTTTGCCTGTAACAGTGTTATATATTTCAGGATTAAACATGTTAGAAATAATTTATCATAGTTATATTTCACAGACTTTAAGACTCTTCCATATGATGTCATATTCTCCATTCTGAAATTTGTATTATATAAATGTAGACAATTAGAAATGCTGTTATGTTGGGATATTGAGCTCTAGAAATCACCATTTCAAATTAATCCCTTCAGTATTCATTCTATACTTTATTTCAGAACCATTATCTGCCAGCTATTATGTTGGGTCTGGGAAATTAAAAAAGCAAATGAGACATGTTTTTCTGCTGTCACAAAATGCACAGGCTGGGAAGGCAGAAAAAAAAAGTACAGTGCTGTGTACTAAGTAGTGAAGTAGAATGGCATTCTAGTACTGGTAACTGTCTTGTCAAAGGTTCTGAGCATTTGATAAGGGAGAGCATGTCCACTGCAGCTAGAACGGAGGATTTCGGGGAGGGAGAAGTAAAGGGGAATGGAAATGAGGACAATGGAAGGAAAGGAGACCGGAAAGATTGATGGAGGTCTGATAGAGAGGGCCTAGGATGCTATCCTAAGAAACTGGAATTCTAACTACAAGGGGTAACATTTTTGGCGTTTCACAAATGCAACTTCAATAGTTCCTTAATATTTCAAAACTAAAAAGAGAAGTTTGAACTAACTTGGATTTCCATTATAAAGAGTAGTAAGGAAACCAGGCAAAGAAAGGTAGTGAGTGAAAGAAGAAAAATGAGACCTTAGTGACACAGAAATTATAACTGATCCCAAACCACCAAGAAGTGCCATTTTGTTTTGCAATTTTTTCTTTCATACCCTTATGTTGCTATTGCCCTTTGTTTTCTAAGATGACATATTGAAAGAGTTTTTTCTAAGTCTCTTGCTTGCGGGAGATAATAGTGGTAATGTTTCTGAGGAATTAGAGCATTAAATTGATGTTAGAGATTATGTCTTTTTTCTCTTTTATTCTTCAACAGTGTCTTGTACATATTATGCTTAGTAAATATTAAATGATGAATAAATGAGATAAGCCCAGAAGGATACAGCCTTTTGTTTGCCTCTGAGTTTATCCCTGAAATTATGATAAATTTTCTCATTCTGCAAACTGGAAATTATAAAATCAAATCATTAGGATGTCTGGCACATAGTAACTGCTCAATAAATATTGGCTGAATAAGTGGGTGAAATAAAACTCTAACACAATCAAATGAAGTATCTGTTAACTATTTTCTGGGAGCATGGCACTGAAATATTTTTTAAAGGTCTCGTCTAGTTGGAGAAATATTGCAAGATGAATGTCATGGACAGTATCATAGGAGCTCAAAGGAGGAAAGAATCTCTGTGGACTAGACAAATATGAAAAGGTTTCCGAAAAATGATGGACTTCACTAAAGTTTGAAATATTGGTATGATTTATAAATGTAGAGAGGAAAATAAGTTGTTGAAGAACAAGGCACGTGTAGGAGCTTAGTGATATGACTGTTTTGGGTTCATTAATTTATTAATTCTGCCACATTTTCTTTCTAATCCAAATGAATGATTAATGGTGCACTTCTTTCTTACTGTTTTTCAGGGCAGTGTTGGCCCTGTAGGACCAATTGGACCTGCTGGAATTCCTGGCCCAGTGGTATGGTTCTATTTGTATAATGGATATTTCCCTTTAATCTCTCTATGATATCACAAAATGTCACCTTTTTTTGTAGGGTCTTTCAGGGAATAAAGGACTACCTGGAATCAAAGGTGATAAGGTGATTTTAATATTAATATTATAAAAATAATTTTTTTATCACATTTGTCTTTTACTTTTCAGTCAACACAATTTATGAAATATTTTGTTTTTATGGAGTCTAATTTGTAGTATCAATTATATTAGTTTTCCTCAGAAGTAAGAAAAATAGAGAAATTATTCTTTTGTAATGAATATTTGCTTTCTTATAATATTGCCATGTTTGTGATACATAAGTATCTTTGCATGAAATTGTGCTTTCCAGGGTGAACAAGGCACTGCAGGAGAGCTAGGAGAGCCAGGGTATCCTGGAGACAAGGTAATGTTTATACCATTAATTTTATGTAAATATGAAAAAGTGTAAATTCAAAAGAAAGAACTGCTTATTATTTTATCCATGTCTTGTGTTAGAATGTAGTATCAGTATGGTTTTAAGTTCTTGTTTGAAACTTTTTTCTCAATATTTTAGCATACTTTATGAAATTTGTTAGCAGTTTGTAAATAGTGGTATATCTGCCTTTTGTGCTATAATAACTTTCTCTTCTCTCTGTTATTCTCTTCTTTTAGGGTGCTGTTGGTTTGCCAGGACCACAAGGGATGAGAGGAAAGCCAGGGCCTTCAGTAGGTTTGAACTTTTGCTTTGCTCTTTGTAATTGACAGAGTGCATGCGATGGCATGAGTCTCGACACTGTTGATCTAAGTAGGGTATAAGCCTACTGAGCATTTGCCTCCTCAGTTTCAGAATATAGCAAATCCCTCAAGTATTCAGTTCACATTCCGTAGACTTTTGGACTTCCCTCTACTCCCAACCCTAGGCCAAAGCCAAGTTTCTGAGAGTCCTAAAGATCTTGGTCATATTATTCTACTGAATAATCTATTATAGACAATATTTAAATTAAAACAATAGGCTTTGAAGCCAGAAAATATGAAGCATCTTAAATAATATTTTAACTTTTCAAAATATCAATTTTATTAAGGAAACAGTCTGAAGAAAAGGTAGCATGTTTGCACTCTCTTGTGGACCAAAATATTCTAAATCCTTATTTTTTTTCTAACCCTTGGATATCAATTAGATGAAAGAAAAAGATACTTTATATTGCTGTTAACATAAAACTCAAAAAATTGTAAATCAAAATTACTTAATTATTAGAGCTATTTAAATAAAATGATTAAAACATGAGACAAAATATATTTCTAAATATTAAAAATCATAATTATTGTAGCTGACATATACTGACTACACAATACCAGGCAGTATTCAAAGGACTATACATCTAAATTAATCTTCACAACAATCCTACAAAGTTGGTACTATTATTATTCCTATTTTTTATATTAAGAAAATTGAGACACAGTGTTAGAAAATGCCTAAGGTCACCTGGGTAGCCACCAGTTACTTAGTAGGTGACCATTCAGAAAAACCTAGGCAATCAGGTATGTCCGAGTTTATGCTTTTAGCTACTGTGCCATACTGTTTTAGGGTTTAATATTTTAAGACGGTTTTAGGATTTTAATATTGATTACAGCTCCATGAAGGTAAAGGTGATTACAGATAGAAAAAATTAGATATAGGATTCAATTCTACAAAAAAGATAGAGATGATTATACATATAAAAATACATATAGGATTATAATTTATTAATGTCACATTAAAACATACATTTAAAAATAAGAGTGTTGTGTTCCTGAGCAGTTTATTGTCTTCCCTCTAGCTCTACCCTTCCATCTAAGGATTGTTTATTTTTTTTAATCTCAGGAAGCAGTATTTAATTACAGAACTTTACCCCGTTCTTTGTGACTTCTAACAGTGATAGTATTTTATATACATCTCTTCGGAATTATTTAACCCAAAGAACAATTTTTGGCATCTTTTCGATGAAATGTTAGTGGTGACCTTTGCTTATAGTAGTTTTTTGCCCTGGGTTTATTGCCATAAGGGCTTAACCTAGTAAGCCATGTACCCTCCCTTGTACCCTTGAGTTGAATCTCAGAAGCTCTAGAGTGCATAAACTGGATCATGAGAATAGATCATGAAGCTAACAAACTACTTCTGTTTTTCAACATGGTTCTTAAACCATATAAAGACACTCTGATGTGCAGTGATTGGCAAAATAAGATCTTTTTTACATATTTCTTTTTTTTTTTTTAAATAATGTGACAGTTTTCTATCCCTTGACCAAATAGGATGAATTGATACAATACATGCTCTAAGGGCACTATTAACTAATAAATAATATAAGTATTATTCTTTTGTACCTTACAATTAATTTTTTGAGAAAACTAGAGTTAAGTATCTTGCTTACACAAGGCAAACCATTTTAGTGTTCCTTACTCTTTGATTAAATTTCTATTTATAACACATTTATGGGAGTAAAAAATCATTGGCTAGAGAGACAAAGACCTGGATTCTGGTCCTAGCTCTGGCACTTAACCTACTAGCTAGGGTATTTAACCTTGGGTATTTAACTACCATGGTACCAGTTTCTCATGTTTAAAATTAAAGTTAGGGCCACGCATGGTGGCTCATGCCTGTAATCCCAGCACTTTGGGAGGCTGAGGCAGGCAGATCACGAGGTCAGGAGTTCGAGACCACCCTGACCAACATGGTGAAACCCCATCTCTACTAAAAATACAAAAATTAGCCAGGCGTAGTGGCACACACCTGGAGTCCCAGCTCCTCAGGAGGCTGAAGCAGGAGAATAGCTTGAACCCGGGAGGTAGAGGTTGCAGTGAGTCAAGATTGTGCCACTGCACTCCAGCCTGAGTGACAGAGTGAGATTCCGTCTCAAGAAAAAAAAAGAAAAAAAGAAAGTTAGGCCATATCGTATGTAAGGTTCCGTATAGTCCTGTGATTATGATGTTCTTCTCTTTTAGAAATAGTACTTATTAATATTCCTCTAGTGTAAGCTAAAGAAAAGACAGAGAGCCTATTTCACCTTTAACACATTATCTTAAAGCCCTTAGTATTTTTTTCCTGAAAGAAGTCACAATAAATGCTAATGATGTTCTTTTAGGGCAGGGAGCAAGAGACAATGAGAGTGAGTCTTTTACTTACTCGGTTTACACCTTTGTGTACTGTTCTAATAAAGAAAATTAATGTCAGCAGGAATTACTTTGATAGGGAGATAATTGATTTTTTATTTGTCTTACCAAACTTTTGAAAACACTTTGGGCCGAAGGTAAGATAGGCATTCATGAATTAAAATTAGTGAGATAGCCTTGTCTTTAGTCTCTCTTGTTGTATCTATTACTTGTTTGTATCTTTTTGTTTTAATTTAAAAAAATGTTTTCGGAGACAGGGTCTCCCTCTGTTGCTCAGGATAGAGTGTAATGGTGCCATCACAGCTCACTGCAGTCTCCAACTCTTGGGCTCAAGTGGTCCTTTCACCTCAGCCTCTCAAGTAGCAAGGACTGCAGGTGCTCACCACTATGCCCAGCTAATTAAAAAAAAAAAAAAAATTGTAGAAACTGGGTCTTGTTTTGTTGCCCAGGCTAGTCTTAAACTCCTGGCCTCACGCGATCCTCTCACCTCAGTCTCCCAGAGTGTGGGATTATAGGTGTGAGCCACTGCACCTGGCTCTATATATTATTAATAGAAAAACTGTAGATATTTGACCAGGAAAACTTTGCTTTTTATGGAAGGAGACACTTGTTTGATGAAAAGTTGCTTATGCAGAATCAGTTATTATATTAAGAAACAAACTCCCACACTCAATTATATAAGTTAATGCCTACCTAAAATATTTGTTTACTGTCATGGAAAGAATGTCAACATCATAAGGATGTCTTCCCCATTTTATAGATCCTACTTTTAATTTTCTGTTACCTAAGAGGTTGGTGTTACTAACTAATATTGTTTCCAAGTAGATTTAAGTTGTAACATGAAATAATATTTTCAAGATATAAGAAAGAATGTCCTGATTTGGAAAGTTGGTACAGTTCTTGAATAGGAAAGCTTTTCCTCTATAAGTATTTTTAAAAAATAGAGAAAACTACCACTCTGAGGTTGTCAGTAAATACACTTTCCTTTAGACCAAGAAAACAAACACAATTGTTATGCTCTATCCATTTTTTAGCTAGAGGTTTTTGTCATTTGTAGATGTTTATTTAATATTAGTCAGTTATCTATAGATAAGTAACTTTAAGTAACTTCTAAGTTACTTAAAATGTCAGCTTTTATAAAGGAAAATTGACATTCATAGGAAATTTGCAATCGAAGTTTTTCAAAACAAAGAATTATTCTGAAGAACAAATAAAATCATGACACAATTTCTGTTTTTAAATATCTGATTGTCAATTAGCTTTTCTGAAAACAAAGCCCTAGGGTATTGCTATTTTATCCTCACTGCTTAGAAATTTAGCTTTGTGATTGGATTTTGCCACTAGAGGGCGCCAATGAGAGCCCCTCGCCCCTATCTCTATCTCTTTAAAGAGAGATGCTTGTCATTTTGAGAACTTCAGTATACTGATTCTGACAGATCACAGATTTTGTTTTTGTTTATTTGGAAAGGGAAACTTAAATGAGCCTTTCCATAGTATTTCACTGCCTTCCTCTAGGTTTGATTGCAGTAGTTGTATGGTGTCCTGTTTTATGTCCAGATACCTCAGCACTGAGAATGAATTAAGTGCATATTGGAAACTGTGCTTTAGGTTTTGGAAAATGGGCAATCCCATATAGTAACTTGCAAGTTTAGGTGATCTGAGGCTTATTTAAATTAAATTTGAAACTTAATATGACAGAAATAATGAATGCAATAATTTTTCTTATGAAAATAGATATATCAGACTACTGTCCTCCCTTTCCAAACTTTCATCTCTTGAGAGCGTTGCTAGCCTTCTCTGGTTTCAGGATTTATGCCTACTTCTCTCTCCTGTCACTTTCTCCTTTAACCCTGATTTCACATCTTTATCATGAATCTCAGAAACTAGCTTCAGAGATATGAAAACTGAATCCTCAAAACTTCAATTAAAGGATGAAAACGATCTAGGAATTCTGTGTATGAGCCAGGAAAGCAGCAAGGGTGTGAAGAGAAGGAATAATGATTGTAAAATTGGTTGATATTTAATGAGTACTTCATATGTCAGACATTCTGCTTAGCACTTTACATATATTATCTAATTTAACTTCCAATGACTCTTTGAGAATGTTACTACTATAATTATTATTTCTATTTTATTGATGAGAAAACTGAGGCTTAGAGAGATTAAGTAACAAGGATTTCAATCCAGGTGAGTCTTAATTACTAATTCAGGCCACTTACAGTATCAAAGGAGAGAGGAATTTTCGGAGACAGCCCTGGGACTGTGGTTATTTATAAAAGCGGTTTCTCATCTAGAATTCCCTATCTTGTTGAGTCCAGCTTTATTGTCTTATCTCTGTGAAGCATGCATAAACACACAATTTTTTTTCTTGATTTGAGCACTTGACTCATTAATTTGTTTATATCACTAACACTTGAGTGAATGTATATTCAACCCATAAACATCTTATTTAAAAACTTTTACGGTAATGATGGTTACAAATTTTTCTAAAAAGTCATTACAACCTTGTTTGACATGGTAATATAATGACTACTATTTCTTTACCATATGCCTGTTTCTTCTTTTAATTGTGTTTATTAAGTTAATGTTTATACTTTGATCCTCCCCCCCATTTTAGGGCCAAACAGGTGACCCAGGACTCCAAGGACCATCTGGCCCTCCAGGACCAGAGGTAAAATATTGGTGGAAAGATAATAAATTTGAAACAAAATGGTGGAAATTAAACTTGTTTGGTAAAACATGTTTAAACATAGGAAGCTTAAGAAAGATCCTCTTTAAAGTTTGTATCTCTGTAAATAGTTTGGACTAAATTTTTTCTGTTGTGTCACGAGGTATGCAACAGGGATCCTAGGGAAACAAAAAAACGCATTAGCCACATTTTCACACTGATTAGGATCACAGCTGATTTATTTGTTCTGCACAGCTATTAATAACAAGTACTTGAGACTTGGAACCAAATTTCAGGAAAGAAACTCCACTGAATTATTAATGCAAAATGTTTCCAATTATTGCTATATCCATATATCATTGAAATCTCATACAGTATTCTAAAACAAATACAATTAAGTCTGTAGTACATATATCAAATTTGTTTGTATATACTTTAAAATTTGTGACTTTGGTTTAATGGTTGATACAGAGTGGCTTTCGTTTCTAAAATTCTATATAGGACATAAGCTTCTGAGATGAAACATTTGGATTTAAAAAATCATATTATGAGTCAGAACTATTGAGTCAAAGATATATTACATGGAGATGAAACTTCTGAAACTCACTCTAGTTTCAAAAATACATGCCTATATTGATATGTGTGTGCCTGTGGGTGTCTACACACACACACATACACACAAGCACACACATATCAGTGTACATACATATTTAATTCAGAGTCGTAGATTCAGCAGAAGGCTGAGAAAATAATTGGCATCAGAATAAATAAGTTAGAGCAATAATGTCATAGTGCCAGAGTGGTAGGCAGAGTTTCTAAGACTACTGCTGTACTGATGCTGTCTCCCTCTCTTTGTAAACCATAAGATCTACTTGATTGCTTCACAGCTGTCCTTCAGGGTTGGTTGATTTTTTTGGAAAATGCCTATTCTAACTTACTGTATGATTTAAAAACACATTGGGTATTGATAGTTCAAAAATCTAAAAAGTAGGCGGGGCATGGTGCAATCCCAGTACTTTGGGAGGCTGACGTGAGAGGATCGCCTTGAGTCCAGGAGTTCGAGACCAGCCCTAGCAACACAGTGAGACCCTGGTGCTTGGGGAAAAAAAAAAAAGGTTTTAAAAGTTAGCCAGGCCTGGTGGCTCACACCTGTAGTCCCAGCTACTCAGGAGGCTGAGGTTGGAGGATCACATGAGCCTGGGGTGGCACCACTGCACTTCAACCTGGGTGACAAAGTGAGACCCCATCTTAAAAAAAAAAAAAAAGAAGAAGAAGGAGAAATCGGCCCGGTGCGGTGGCTCAAGCCTGTAATCCCAGCACTTTGGGAGGCCGAGACGGGCGGATCACGAGGTCAGGAGATTGAGACCATCCTGGCTAATACGGTGAAACCCCATCTCTACTAAATAATACAAAAAAAAAAATGGCCGGGCGAGGTGGCGGGCGCCTGTAGTCCCAGCTATTCGGGAGGCTGAGGCAGGAGAATGGCGTAAACCCGGGAGGCGGAGCTTGCAGTGAGCTGAGATCCGGCCACTGCACTCCAGCCTGGGCGACAGAGTGAGACTCCGTCTCAAAAAAAAAAAAAAAGAAGAAGAAGAAGAAGAAATCGTCTTCGAAACTTCATTGTACTTAGTTTTATATCAATAGAGAGGAAACAGGAAGTAAAATACAGTAGTATATTGATCTCTGCATTCTGATAAGAAGGAAATTGAGTAATTAAAACTAAAACTTCAGATTAGTATAAGCTTCTCCATATGAGCCTACAATTTTTATTCTAATTATTTTTAATGAAAGCTTTCCTGGAGTGAATAGTATTTACACTCTTGTCATACTGAGGATAAAGAATCTATTTTAATTTTCATTATCTTTAAAGGTTATTATTATGACTGTATTGCCCCATTATTACTGCAGTTACAGGTAATATGTACACTAGAAACGTCTATGTTGCCTCCTTGCTGTCATTATGGTTTTCAGTCATTTTTCTTCTTTCTCATAAAGCTTGGTTAAAGGATGCATGAGCCATGTTTTCACTTACTACTTGATCTTCCAAAGATGTTTCTTTATTTCTCTCTTCCCTTTAAAATTTCATAATATCCATCAACACTGAAAACGTTGTGTCATTATCTCTGATTTCAGCACCACTAATATAAGCTCCTGAGCCCCAGCCTTTTCAGAGTACCAGTCCTTCCTCTTCACCTGTCTTAAGTTTTTCCATGGAGCTAAAAATGTAACCTGTACTCTCTCAAGAACTGATGCTAGATTGTTTTGGGAAACAGGGTCTAATCCAAGGAGCATAACTTTTTCTTGATCATAAAAATATAGTACCTAGGCAACTATATATGAGACAACACTTCTATCCAAATCCTTCTCAACATTAAGCTTTTAATGAACTTGCAGGTCCAAGAATTTTAAATAGTATATTTAGTAGTAAACCAAGCCTGAAAACTTTCTGCTTGTATAGTGGATGAATTTTTCTCAGGTAAAGGGTCTTATGCATTGTGCTAAATTCAGACTTTATCCTGTGTGCATTGACCAAAGATATTTAAGCAAGAGAATGAAATTATCAGACTTGTGCTTTATGCAAGGCAGCAGGGGAAAGGATAAAAGAGAAGAAGGGAAGGAGGGGTGCCAAGGAGACAAACTAAAGGTTATTTAGAAGGATGGTGCAGCAGAGCAGGGGATTGATCATGAGGTCCTGTGACAATAGAGAGGAAAGGATAGCTTAAAGAGAGAACTAGAAAATATAATTCACAACACATAAAACAATTAGTTTAGCTCATTCCAATTGTGAGAGAGAGGAATAAAAGGCAATTTTAACGCTTCTTGCTTGAAAAGTTGGGTAGAATGTGCATCATCATTCCAAAAATAGAAAATAAAAGAGGAAGAGGAGGAGGAAGAGAAGGAAGAGATTCAGGGTGGCTGGAAATAATGTTTTGGCTTTGAATCTGTTAAGGTTTAAAGGCCTTTAGGAGATATAGAAAAATAGTCTAATAAGTGTCTTAAAACTGTAGGCCTAAAGCTCAGAAAAGTAGACTAGAAATACATACTTATATAATCATCTGCATGAAGGTATTAGATGAAGCAATGTAATAGATGAATTAAAACAAAGTTTAAAAATACTACACCTGGAAACTCACTCCTGGAAGGCTACATTCTTTGTCTATAGTGCAGCAAAGTTTTAAGTTGGTAATAAAAAGTCAGTAAAATAGCATTTTGGGTGACTGAAAAATACATTCCTTAGTAACTTATGGTCTGGAAAGAAGAAATATTGCAATGGAAATTAGAAAATGTTTAGAAGTGAATGAGAACGAATCAGTATAAAAACTTGAGTGTTGCAGCTGAAGCAACATTTAGGGGGCAATTTATATACAAATTCATTTTTCTTGAAAGCAAAGAAGGTAAAAAATAAATGAGTTATATACAGCATAACTCCAGGGATTTGTTTCAAAAGAAGAAAGAAGTTGAAAGAGGTATATAGGATAGTCTCTGTTTTCTTAGTCTTGAGACTAAATCTCAAGAGTAAGGGGACTGTGCAGGAGAAAGGAGCTGCAGGAGCTCTTTGAAAAGTAAGTGAGTGAGTGACTGCGGAATCATAAAATAATTTCTGAGTTGTTGGTTAAGGTGATTTTTGGATAAGGTTTTTGTTTGTTTGTTTTTGTTTTTGTTTTTGAGACAGAGTTTCACTCTTTCCCCCAGGTTGGAATGCAGTGGTGCTGTCTTGGCTCACTGCAACCTCCGCCTCCCAGGTTCAAGCGATTCTCCTGCCTCAGCCTCCCAGGTAGTTGGGATTACAAGTGCCTGCCACCACACCTGGCTAATTTTTGTATTTTTAGTAGTGTTTTGCCATGTTGACTAAGCTGGTCTCGAATTCCTGACCTCAGGTGATCCACCTGCATTGGCCTCTCAAAGTGCTGGGATTACAGGCATGAGCCACCATGCCTGGCCCATTTTTTGGTTAGTTTGAAATGTAAGAGGCTTTTGCCTGAAATACAGTCACAAAGCTCTGTACATTTTGTTGTAAGGGAATTTCAGATTTGAATGCGATCTTCCCACTGCCAAAAGGATGACACATGATCAGTTATATGATTCTCCTGTCTTTTGGATTAGAACATATTATTCAAAAGGAGGTAGCAATTCATTGTATTATGTCATTTCCACTATTCAATACAGATGGAAGTTATAATGTGAAAGCATAATTCAGTAAAAGTAATTCTATTAGGGGCCAAAATGATGAGACCTACATATGTACTTCTATGATAGCTTTTGTTAATAACTAGGTCATAAAAGGTTTAAGATATCTGAAAATTACAGAATTTGGGGGTTAACATCTTCTGAATGAGAATTGAGGAGTTAGTCTGAGTACCTTGAGCAAATTACTTCAACTCCCTGGGCCTTTCCTCATCTGTAAAGCGGAAATATTAATAGTACCAACCTCATAAAGTTGTTTTATTACACACATTAATTCATGTAAAACACTTCAGCATGTAGTTAATAGGAAACATTCAGTATGTATTAGCTGCCGCCACCACTACCACCACCACCATAATTGAAGACAGCACACATTGTGTAGACCCAAGGCAGAAAAGCCGGGCCAGTTCAAGATCCGAAAGAATGCCAGTGTAACTGGAGTGAGCAGAATGAATGAAGAAGAAAGTGGTATACAACGAAGTTGGAAAAGTAGACAGGGGATATATCATGTATGCCCTCGTAGAGGAGAGTGAGAAGTTTGGATTTGGTTCTAAGTGCAGCAGGAAGCCATGAGAGGCTTTAAATAGGGCAGTGGCATGATCTGATCTGATTTATGCTTTTCAAAGGTTACTCTGGCTGCTGAGTGAACGTAAGACTGTGGGGAGAAACAGTGCTGAAAGTAGGGACATGATTTTTTCTTTTTATTTATTTATTTATTTATTTGAGATAGAGTCTCGCTCTGTCACCCAGGCTGGAGTGCAGCGGTGCAATCTCGGCTTACTGCAACCTCTGCCTCCCAGGTTCAAGCGATTCTCCTC